CTACGGTCCTCGTGACTTCCGTCGCCCGCCGACTACAGCCATTCCAACAAAGCGAATACGTCAATAGTAACTCTTTGTATTTATATCATGTAATGTACTCTATAAGATGTGCATCAACCTAAGGCCTTCTCCCAAGGAAGGGCCTCATTTGTAATCGACTGCAAGGGCCTCATTTGTAATCGACTGCAAATATTAGTGGATTCGTTCAAACTGAGCTAGGCTCTGTGATTTTTTCCCCTTTTTCAGGAGGTTTCCACGTAAAAATCTTGGTGTCTCATAAATGCTAGACCCTCTCTCCTTATCTGATTGCGTGCCGGATTTTCGTACAACGCTAAGACGATAAATATGATATTTCTCTACCGCCGCGAATACTCCTAGACGCAACAAGTTTAAAGAGCGATTTGTGAAAAAGGAAAAAAGGAAGAATAATAGCATTTGCTATCTTCACCAACCACAAAAAGGGATTAGTAAATGAGATTTGCTTCTTCTTTTTTACTATTGCCTCGAGTGGAGCACTCACTTTCAAGGTTCGATCTCTTTATGACATCAATTCGACCCATGTACCATCTATAGCTATAAATAACGATGAGGGGCTTTGGAGTGGCTAAACTCCTCCTTTGCTTTGAGTGTTTTCTACTAGCTCATATAAGAGATGACAGACTTGGAACTTTTCAAATATGTCAACATGAGCAGCAAGAATCTAAAAAAACACTCTATATGCAAATGCAAGGTGAAGGAAAGAAGCCCAACTAATCGACTGAGAAGAAGAAGGATGAGATTGAAATAGGGCCTCGATAATCGACTAGAAAGGAGTTAAAATGTTATAGAATATAGCCGAATAAGACTACAAAAGCAATTTAAAAAAAGGAGTAAATTAAATTTGAAATTGATGTTGGGTCTTACATGTAATGAAAAAAAGTATAACTTGATCATTCTTCCCTTCATGTAGATTTGGCTGAGACTTCCATCAAAATACCATTTGTGTATCTTTATCTTGTTATTATCCTTTGAATGATAGTATTTATTCATTTTGGAAAGCCTTCCATCTGTTGCCCTTCATATATATATGTATTTAATCCTTCGATCAACTCCAATAAGCTCCTGTTTCCAATTTCCAAGCATTTTAATCATGATAGAAATAATTTTGCTGACAAACTACAGCAAACTGTATGATAGAAATATTTAGTTTTTCTCAATTCAAGCATCCAATTTCAGGATCCTCGGGTAAGCCAAATCCTCTCTCTTTTTTTCTTAGAGAATCTCCAACCGAACTCCAAACGCTTGAATGTCATCGCTCGCGAGCTCCAGCCGAACGGTAAAACTTCCGCTATTTGGTTTCGGGTGAATAGTGGTACGCCAATATTGGCGTTGCATTGTTCATCTTCGTTAATTTTATGTCTTTATCGAACTTGCCGAAGAAACGCGCGAAAGAAGAGAATGGATGTTACCTTCGCAAAACGAGGCAAAATGAAGTTCGATTGGAGATGAATCACGGCATTTTTCAGTTTCACGACATTTTATAGTGAAAAATGAGATTTTCCGTTGGTGATGATCTTAACAAAGTTTCCTTTAATTTAGAAAACAACTGGTTTGACGCCTTTATCAAGCATCTCCTGAAAATATTCTCAAGCTTCATCCATAAGTAGATTTATCACCACCAAATTAAAAAAAATATATATAAATTTCAACATATATATGGTGGCCCATTGATCTTATGCAAATGATTAAAAAAAATATTGCATGTTATTGTCATGGTTTGGACTATGAGCAATTAAATTTAAAGTATGCCTTCTCTGACTTCATGTGTGATTAGTTCTGCTTAGCTCATGTCAACTTGGCAGGTTAAAAGAGGTTGATATCATGGGTTAATATATCTCCTTCAAAGGACAAGCCTGATATAACATATTATTATCTTAAGCTCTGTATTTTCCAATAACAAAATATATTAGAATTGTTGCGGGCTAGAATATACGCGGCGGTAGAGTTAGAAAATTTTCGTCTGAGCGTTGCACGAATATTCAACACACAAACACGAAAGAAAAATAAACACCATGATTTTTACCTGGAAAACCCGAAAAAGGGAAAAAACCACGGGGCCGCGCCCAACTGAAAAATTCCACTAGTGTTGCTTGAGTTACAAGAAACTGATTCGTCCCACAAGTTAGGACGATCAGATTTACAATGAATTTCTTCTGGATTGAAATTCAATTACAAAGTTGTGTAGAATTCCGGCTTTCTCCCGAATATCCGGCAGAATCCCGGCGTGTTCGGGCGGCGGGAAGAACTCCGGCGTCGGCCAAGGAGGAGCTGATTCTCCTCCCCTTCTCTTCTTCTTCCCTTTTTCTTGCTTGAGTCCCTTCTTATGAGAAATGAGGGGTCTATTTATAATTTTTCTGGAATGGCATGGCTTGTAAATAGGTGTGAGATCAGGGGCGAACAGGGAGTGGTCGAATGGACGGCTGATATTGAATCCCTTGATCATAGACCATTCGTCAGTCATTTGAAGGCTTTAGTGATGTCAGAATCTGGCGATCTTGGGCTCGTTAGATTCGTCTCGTCGAGCCATTCGATTCGACTATAAGCTCGTTAAAATCAGAGACCATTTGGTAACTCAAATTGTGGTACGAGCTTTCCAACAGCGCTTCGGGTGCTTGATTTTAGCTCATTTGGGCTCAGATTGAGTTGAATTTGGTGTCGTTGGGTTCGTATTTCCGAGCGCTCAGTTTGACTATAAGCTCGCTGAAATCGGAGTTCATATGCTCCCGAATTGAATTTTTGAAGTTTTCGGTTCGGTTTCGCCTCGAGATTTGTGCTTGATCAAGATGATTTTTTTGAGAATATATCAAGAATCATTCAAATTATAATATTGGTTGGTTCCCTATTGTCCACCACAAATCTATAACCGAAGAACGATTCCAAGTTATAGTGGCGATTATGACCGCAACAATTCAGTAAATTTGTGGCGGTTAAGAACGATGCTATAACCAGCATTTTATACGACTTACCCCAACGGTCCTAGAATCGCTAAGACATGTTATTGCAACACATTATAATCATGGCAGTCTTTCAACGATTTTTAAACTGCTGTAAGAAATTTTGTGGTAGTTTAAACCGTTGAAAAATGGTATATTTAGTCCTTTTTTTTTATAGTTATGTTGGGTTGATAAATATTTTATTAAAGGAAGCCTCCTTTTCTATTGTAAGTAACCTACCTTTAATGATTTGGTCCCCAAATATGTTTATTTAAACTAAACTAAGCTTCAATTTAATTACAGCTAAATATTTGCGAGAAATGTCAATGCTGCTGATCACTTATATAAATAATCGAGATTGGCTGAGGAAGTCTATTTTTAGTTACTTTTTTCATAACTTTGAAAATAAGGCAAATGAATGATCCTTTGAAAGTCAATTGGGAGGTAAAAATACTCCTACTTGGATGGCAATTTTTTGACAAAAAAATTGTAAGAATGTAAATTTTTAAATTAAAAGAAGACTTTGAAAATCAAATCTAATTGGTTGGTGAGATAATATTTTGTTTTATGAGGTGCTAATAATACATAAGTATATTTAGGCTTCGATTGGGATAACCTTTTTTTTAATTGATTTCTAAAGTAGTTTTATAGTATTAAATTTTTTAGCACTAGATGTTTTTTACTAGAAAGATCTTTTAAAAAGCAGTAAGAAAGCCTAGGTCGTGGTCGCCAGACCGCCGCCTAGACGTTGATCTCCGTCGGACCACCGCCCGACCGCCAATCTCCATCAGACTTCCGTTCAACCATCATTAGACAACCGTCTGGCCACCAATCGTCTTCATACAACTGCCTGTTCGCTGACCGTCACAAGTCCTTCGACCGTCTGCCAATTATCGGACCTCTGCTCGGTAACCTGCCACCACCATACCTCCTACCACAGTCGACCACAATCCTAGCAATCACCATCGCCTGCCGACTACAGTTCATCTGACCTCCATCACCCGCTAAGTACGATCTCTCTCCAAGCACCGTCGCTCATCGACTACTTTCCCATCAACCTTCATCGTCCGCTGACCACGATCCCATCGACCACTGTCGCTTGCCGACCATCAGTCCCTTTGACCTCCGTTGCTTGCCAACTATGGTCCCACCGACCTCTGGTGCTCGCCGACCACAATCCCATCAACCACCGTCGCCTGCCAACTATGGTCTCTCTGACCTCCTTCTTCTGCCGACTACGATCCCTCAGACCATCGTCGCTTGCTATCTATGGACGGTCCATCCACAGCTCGCCGACCTCTGATCATCGTCGCCCAACTACAATCCTACCGACCAATGACTAAGTCATGTCATCATGATTCAACACTTAAATATAATATAGTTTACATATAATAAATATAATTTTATTATTTAATTGTGTCGCATTACAGATCTTAATTTTTTTTATTTCACGAAATATAAACGTCATCATGATTCAACACTTTGTTCAACTTTATCAATAAATCTTAGAGCGTTTCTTTTTTCCCATTTATTATCTGTCCCTTTAAAACATCATTTTTTATGAATTTTGAATTTTAAAAATTTAGGCTTGGACTGTGACAGTTTTTCTATTATTTTTTTAAATAAATTTTTTTATATAATTTTTTTTTTGAACCAAAAATATTTATATTAGAAAATATTAACTCAAACAAAATTTTTGCATTAAAAATTATTTAAAAATCAGTAAGAAAATAATCTCAAACAAAATTTTGTTTCAAACTAAATTCAGTTTTAGCTGAAAATATGATTGCCAACTTTATAAAGAAATTATCAAACTCGCGAGAAATTGACCATTTCCTAACAATGGCAGAAAAGTAATTTCATGAGAGTAAATGTCTTTCTGAGAGGTATAATGGTAATTACGATTTGCCTGTTAGGCCTACTTAAGTAAAGCCAGCACTGCCTTTCTTTTCCTCTCTCTCTCTATCTCTATCTCAGATTTTCTCTCTCATCTGCTTTGCATATTATCTCTCTCTAAAATTGTAGAGAAAGGCAGAAAGCAGAGCCATGGATTCTTCTGGGAAGGCTGGGCTACTGCTTGCGGTGACGGTGGCGTTTTGGGCCGGGCCGGCCCTGTCAGGCGGGACGATCTTCACCGTCGGCGATAGCGCGGGCTGGACGGTCGGCAACAACCTAAACTACACCCAGTGGGCTGCCAGCAAGACTATTCGTGTCGGCGACACGCTTCGTAAGATCAATTAATTTCTGCGATTTTATTTAAGATATCAAATATCAAATATATTTATTTATTTTACGTTAAAATATATAATACTCATAACTTTAAAAAATATGTGTTTTAATTTCTTATAAAAATTTTAAAAATATTTTATTTTGAGAGAGCTTCTTAGTTTTTTTTTTTGCGATAGAAAAAATAGCTAATAAATGAAAAAGATAGATTTAGATGATTTTTTTTTTCATTTTCTTTTTCAAAGGCATTTTTTAATTTTTTTCTTAAATAACTGATTTTTAAAATATATAATAAAAATTGTATTAACAAAATAATTTTTAACAAAAACAGTACAAAAAAGAATTAAAATACAAAAGTTTCTTTCACAAAGGGGCAAAAATATTATGTGGGAATCATTTCATGAAAGTGGATGAGTGGATCACTTCGAAGGCTATTTTGGATGGAGAATCGATCAGTCCCTTTCAATTTTAATTTTATTTTCATTGTTTTTATCTTTTATTTTATTTTTTAATCTCCCAATATTATAAAGATAATTACCATGATAAACAATATAATGAATTATTAGAGATTTATAAATATTATTACTTGCTAGAAAATTTGTGTCAGTAGATTAAAAGATGTATGTTTTAGCTTCTAAAAAAAATTAATGCGCACAAATTAAATTTATAAAGTATCAAAAATTAAACAAGTATAATTAATAAATGAAAAATATTAAGATTATCTAATAATTTAGTTGTATAAACTAAAAGTTTAACTATATTTATTTGATGATTTAATTATAACTTTTGATATAAAAAATCAGTGATACATATAAAAAAAATAGTCTTATTCAAAGATATATATATATTAAAAAAATCCTAAATTTCTATGAATTATATTACTAGCTAGGAATGAAAGGGATGTCCACATGTTGAATAGCCCTTGTATGAAATGAAAAATTTGTACTATAGTGGGCTGTAGTCTTTAATGATATGACTTTAGTTGTCATGTGGGGTAGATAAGATTGGACTTAGCTTATCTTAGCTTGCTTGATTTTAGTCCAAATCTTTTGGTGGACATCTAATTAGCTATCCTCACGAGACATTATTATGTGCTGTCACTGTGGACGGTATCCAAAGGCGAATCAAAAAGCGCCATGTCATTTTTTTGTTGTGTACCGATGCTATGTACCGAGTGACGTGGTGCATCTTGATTCGCCTCTGAATTTTCTGGTGACCCCGCAGCCTCACAAATATCTCACTTACAAGTTACGACTAAGACTCTTTTGGGATAATTTTGTTATTAGTTTTTAAAGCGACTTTGTAGTATAAAAATTTTGTACTAAAAATTATTTTAAAAAACAATAAGAAAGTCGTCCCAAATGATGCATATTTTTCTTTATTTTTGACCATTATCATATGGAAAAATTACTTTCAATATGCTATGACCACATCAACATTACATCTTCATGATGTCTATGTTATTCATGCATGCATGCATGCATGTATGTATATTATTAAGGATGCAAGACAATTGTTCTGTATGTTTTCAAAGATAGTTTTTTTTTTTTTTTGGTCCTGTGAAAGTTACTGATTTTGCTTAATATCTTACAACATAAAGATGAATAAATGTCTTACATATAAACTTGCAGCTCATTATTTAGAGCAATATCTCCCAAATACTTACATTTTCAGCATTTCTTTCAAAATTTAAGTGTATTTTCTACCTTTCTGATGCAATTCAAACTTTCAAGTTTTCAAATACAACAACCAATTTCACAATGTGTTGGAGGTCAAAGAGCCTGACTTCAATGCATGCAAGAATAGTTCAGCTATCAAAGAGTACAAAACCGGTAAAGATTCCATCCCCATCACATCGACCGGCCACCACTACTACATTTGTGGATTCCCCGGCCATTGCCAATTCGGGCAGAAGGTCGACGTGCACGCCGTCGGCTCCTCTGCTGCCCCTTCTTCATCACCAACTGGCCTGTCGCCGCCTCCCCCCAATGCAGGTGACCGGTTGGTCAGGGGAAGTTCGGTTTTTCTTGGTGGCTTGATCATGGCGGCCTCCTGTGTTTTGTTAGGGTTTTTGGGTTGAGATGAAGTTGATTTTGGCTTCTTTTGGGGATTGCTTTATTAGTACTGCTTCTTAAATCAGTTTTTTAGTACAAAATTTTTAATTTTTATACTAAAAAGCTGATTTAAGAAACAGTAAGAAAGCTGTCCCAAACGAAGCTTTTGTTATGGTTGGTGTGATAGTTATTTTAGTTTAAAAGTTTTGAAAGTTGAATGTATGTCAGCTTTTACCACATTCAACTTACATATCTTGTTTGAGTATTTAGCTTTCATATTTTATAAAATATAGTAGTTGTTATGCTGGCCAATATGATCTGCACCTCAGTCTGTATTGCATTAAATTGTTCTATGCAAATATTAAAATATAGATTAAATAAATAAAAATTGAGTAATACAGAAAAAATACCCCTAATAATTTCTCATGAATGCAGCCAATTAGTTGTTTAGTTAGAGAGTGATAACATTTAAAATTGCAAGGATTGAACCAACAAACTTAATTCATTTATATGAATAATTGTTTATTTCGTTTTAGACTGCTTCTTAAAGCAGCTTTTTAATATCAAAATTTTCATTTTTTATACTAAAAAGCTGCTTTAAGAAGCTGGAAAAAAGCCATCCCAAACAAAATTTTGGCTTCATTTGGAATAACTTTTTTTACTATTTTTAAAGTAGCTTTTTATAACAAAAAATTCTTAAAAAAAAAAAAAAAAGTTGTGGTCAAAAGCTATCTCAAACGAAACCTTAATTTTAAAAGGAGACTGCATCATTGCCTAAATTAAAGAAAGCATGATACATTTTAAGAGAATATAACATATAAGCAATTAAAACTAAATAATAATTAAGGACTAAGGCTTCTTTTGGGACAACTTTCATATTCCTTTATAAAGTAGTTTTTTAGTACAAGATTTTTGTACTAGAAATCTGCTTTAAAAAGCAGTAAGAAAACTATTAGAAAACGAAGCTTAAGCTCAAAAGAAACATGTTTCATACAACTTTAAGGTGGTTTGCATAGCACCAAAAGCATGAACTTGTTGTTCAGCAAACATATGTTATCATATAACATATAATAATCAAATAAAAATGTTTACAATGTCTTGAAATAAGTTACAAATCAAACCACAAGATTGTCATCATGAACACCAACAGGAGGCTCTCTTTCCTGGTTTTCAGACAGATCCTCATACTTATCTTCCATGAACTTCTTCCAATACCAGTGCTGCTTCCAGACTCTTTCGTTCATCTCGTCGATAGGAACCCCCTTTGTCTCAGGCAACAAGAACACGACGAATATTCCCATGATGAAGATCCACACTGCAAAGAAGAAGAAAATGCTGGACTTCATGTGGCACATCATGGAAAGGAAGGCCTGTGCGATGAGAAAGGTGAAGAGCATGTTGGCGCTGACAGCAAAGGAGAATCCAGCTGCTCTAGTCTCCAATGGGAATGTTTCGCTTGGTATCAACCAACCTAGAGGACCCCAAGACCATGCAAAGCTCATCACAAACATACAGACCAGTAAGACAACTACTATGGCAGTCCCTTTGTGGAGGCTATTTGTGGTCTTCAAGTACACATGAAGAATGCTGCCAATTGTAGTCTACAAATAGAAAGATACGACAACAACAACAACATCAAGTCTTTATCCCACTACGTGGGGTCATACAAGCAGAAAGATAAGCAGTAAGAAATGAAAGAGTGGACAATAATTTAGGAAGCTCTTTGATAGGTCGGTTCATCCAAAACCAAGCTTTGATAGGTAGGTTCATCCAGAACCGACCCAGCCGGCCTCACCTGGGCCGACAACGGTCTATAGGAGGCGGTTCAAACCGCCTCCCTTGAGTTGCCGCCTAGCATAGGGGCCACACCTATTTGAATTAATTTAAAAAAAAAATTGTATTTTAGGCAAGGGGAGGGGCGGTTATAGCTAGGGCTGAGGGTTATAAATTGGTATGAAGGGGAAGGGTTATGGTATGCTTTGATTATTGTTTACTTGTAGTCACTTTGGCGTCTTGGCTTTAGACTCTTGTCTAGAGATTTGGGAGAGACGATCCTCCTCTCGAATAGGGGATCAATTGTATCTTTCTTTATGTTTGGTTTGATTTTGATTATATCATCAAAGTTACTGTTTTTGTAGGATTTCTTCATTGTTCTTGTATTGTTTTCACCAATTATTGATATGATTGCTTGCGAACTCAAGTATTTCCTATCAGACAATAAAACAAGTCATTGAAGCCATTCAGACTAGAATTAATGTGATAAACTTACTTGGGCAATGAACATAAAAAAGCAAGCAGAAAGCAGCAAGACCCTCCTTCCAGCTTTATCCACAGAGAATACAGAGATGAGTGTGCTGAGCACATTCACAATACCAGTAATGACTGAAGATAGCAGTGATGCGTTGTTCTTGAAACCAACCGTTTGAAAGAGGACTGGTGCGTAAAACATAATGGCATTGATGCCAGTGAACTGTTGGAATACCTGCATCAGAATCCCGATCACCAGTGGGGGTTGGCTTGGCCGCTTCATAAGCATCCTGTAAGGGTGTCTCACCTGTTCTGCCACCTTACTGGCCTGCTTCAATTCCTCAAATTCAGCTTCAACATTCTCCACCCCCCTCACCTTCCTCAACATCTTAATCCCTTCATCAAGCTTTCCATGCTCGACTAGGCTTGTTGGTGTCTCGGGAATGATGAAGGATCCCAAGCATAGAATGGATGCTGGAACTCCAGCTAGTCCAAGTGAGAGCCGCCAGCCCCATGGGTGGATCTCTGAAGTAAAGTAATTGACAATGTTTGCAATGAAGATGCCAATAGTGACATCTAGTTGGAAGAGGATGTTCAGAGCTCCTCTAATTTTCGCTGGAGCAAGCTCTGACAAGAACAGTGGAACCGCCTGCAAAGAAACCATATTTAGCCTGTTCTTTAGTAGTTTCCTGACCATATATGTCTCTAAACAAATAAAACTATTTTTTTACAAAGTAATATAGTAACAACTTGAACCCTCTTTGGAGAATGCATTCTACAACTATTGAACTCTATCTTACTACATATGATATTTTAATGTGCCTGTGAATAGATATCTTTATATAGACGAAATTCTAAGTTAAAAAAATCTGAATCCACAAATCTAGTACTTAGAACATAGAAAATTGTAACATAATAAAATAGTTAACTAGCAATGTAGAAATAGGATGGCCTATATAGCTCTTTTATTCAAATTAAAGTTTTGTTTGGGACAACTTCTTTGTTGCTTTCTAAAACGGTTTTCTAGTATAAATAAAAATGAAAAAAAAAGTACACTCAACGCTATGCCGAAGTACAGATGAAACAAAACAGAGAAATTAACAAGAAATTACAAAAGAAATGAAAATAAAGAAGACAAAACGGTAGCCATGCATTTCATATAGTGAGAAGCAATTAAATTAGTAAAAAGGCACCTGGTTGGCAAATCCCACTCCAACTCCAAGGAAGATCCTGCCTATGATAAGCATGAAAAGGTTGACTGCAGCAGCACATAGAACTGTACCGACCAAGAAGAAGGCAGAAGCAGCTTGCATGGTTGGTTTACGCCCATACTTAGTGCAGGACTTAGAGGCAGAGAAACTGGCAATGAGTGCAGAGAGATACAGTGAAGAGGTGAAGAGCTGAAGGCCCTGGTTGTCATACTTGCAATAGTTGTCCTCATGAACCAGGTGCTTTCTCACATATACAGTATGGAAAAATTTTTCTAAAAATCCATCCATTGCTGTCACTCCTCCTATAAAATCAAAGAATTATAGAAAACAAATTCGTATGAAGAATGAATATCATGATGTGCATTAATTTTTTTATTTTTGCATGACAAACTTTTTGAAATATAGCTACAAGTGTAGATAATATGAACTTGGCATAATATCAAAAGTGTAAGCATGGTTGCACTTAGTCCAAATATTAAGTTTGGTTGTGTAGGATATAAGCAAAAAAATATCTTCTAGCTTATATCAATATTGATCTCATATCATATATGCATTGCTTTGTATAATCCTTAGATTTTTTTTTTTTTTTGGGTATAATCCTTAGATGAATCACTTATGCTAATAAAATCTTGATTAAATAACTTTAAGGGATCAATTAATTGCTTGAAGATATAAAACATATTTTAGAAAGTTGGATTTGGGTTGCTTCGAATCTTTTTCAACTAACCACCAAATTCTAAAAGTTGCTCAGATGATCGAGTTAGGTGATATTTTGTTGATCTCAGTTTTAAAAATACAAAAATTTCTAGAATTCTTTATTTATAATTTCATTTGCGAAAGATGAGGATAACTTGTTATCTGCAAAAGTTTCACTGCGTAATTTTTTGTATGTTATAGAAACAATAATTGTAGAGATTTAGGTATTAGTGTAGAAAATTTACATCAGGTATTTTGAGAATTTTACTATTTAAATTGATTAGAAAATAATCCCGACTCTAAAAAATAATGTTGTAGTATAATTAAATTTTTTGAATTGTGTTCTAAACAATCTATGATAATTTGATTGAATTATAAAAGAGTGAATTTCTATACAGTAGTGTAATCTATCAGGACATTTTAGTAATATTTTAAATAAACTTATTTACATTCTTGTTATGTGTTTATCTTATTGAATTTTGTGATTCTGAAGAGTTCTGGTGTGGATAGAGGAAGTTCAGTTCTGGTGTTAAATGCATGCTCTAATGCTGGCGGACGTCTACGGGCATATTCTGATGCTATATGCTCATTTTATTTAGGTATTGATATTGAGAGACGTAAGAGTAAAAAATCACTAAATTATGTTTGGGATAATGTACTTGTTTGTTTTTTTTCCAGCATTGTTATTTGAATTGTTGATAACTGCAACTATTATTCTCCTCAGCACAGTGATTTATTATATTGCTTTTACCACTCAATTAAATGCTTAATAATAAATTCATTTCAAAATTAAGATTAGTAAATGTGGCATGTTGAGCTTCGTTAGCTCATCGTTGTTTTGCCTTCTATTTTAAGGGTCCGATAGGGGAAAGAGTCATTTGAGTAACAATTTCAGGATCTGATTTGAGTCTGCATATGTATTTCTTTCTTTTGATTTATGTACAGTCGTGACTAATTATTTAATCATCTATATTTTATATTTCAGTATGTAGTCATGTACTGTAGTGTAATTATTATAAATTCATTTTGATGATAAATAAAAAGAAAATTTTATGGATTAATTTATTTCTTGTATATTGACATTTATTAGCAACTCTATAGTTTGTGATTTGTTTTAAATTTAAAATTGGACGAAAATTCTAAAAAAATTTCAAAACTTAGATCTTGAGTTCGCTTGTAGGAAACCAACATGATAGGAATTGTGGGTCTCATCGGGTTGGGTTACGATATAGGATGAGGGAGACACAATTTTAAGATAATAATCAGAATAACTATAAGAAGCTCTTATTTTAATATTTAGAAATATTATCTTATCAATCAAAGATAATGAGACTTAAATTCTAAAACATCAGACACATTTGAATTATTACAAAAACCTAGAAGTAAAACTTAGGGAAGCAGTCAGAAAATGAAAGCTTTACAACAACCCATAATGATGCAAAAGAGAGTAGAACACAAATAATTGACCCATGGATATAACAACCTAAAGAAGGGAAACTATCCTAAGAAAAATGATTCTAACTTAAAGAGCATATTTAATAACCTAGGTAACTCGCTAATCAATTTTATGGAGGAAGGTTTCTAACCAAATGAAAGGAGACAAATTAGTAGGTCCAGTCACTGGACGTAGAGATACGTCCGGACACTAATAAAATATTATTTTAAGTTAAACGCGTCAAAAGTGCAAGTAAAGCACAGTCAAAGCGCACCTAAAGCGTAGGCGATGTGGCAAGTTTTAATTGGATGTTCGGACCTATTTTTAGGTCTGGTGACCGGACCTAATAATAAGTCATGAAAGGAAGACTAATCCTGAAGGACAGACTTAGAAAAAACAGATAGTGTTTAGAAGAGCCAAGTGTTTTAAGTGCATAAAAAAATGATGCAAAATATGAATTTCAATTTCAAGCAATAAAATAGGCCCCAATGTCAAAGCCAAAAATTGGAGACTTAAAAAACACACAATATTGGGGGACTGAAAGTCTGAAAAGCTAAATGAAGTTATGGACAAAAAGAGAAGAAAGTTGCAAACCAGATATCCCAATATCATAGCCAAACATAAGGCCTCCAGTCGCAGCGATTATTGCACAGATAGCCACATAAAAAGTGAACTTCCCTTCCAAAGGAGTGGGCCGGCCACCATCAGAACTCAATGACATGCCACCAGCCATCCTATTAGCTCTTCTCTGCTCTTTCTATCCAAAGACTAAATCTGTATCAAAGAAAAGAATGCGAGAAGATTAAAAGTCTCAGTAATAGCCAATAACAGGGAAACGGCAAATCAGAATGTTATCCACAATAATAAATAATAAGCATCTATTTGATAAGAAGATTTTGAAGATAACATTCACAGCTATTACGATTTATTACAGTAATTCTAATGCTGATATTTCGAGGGCCATATTTCTTTTCCAATGCATGACATAAATGCTTGCATCAACTACAAATAAATCTGTTCACACTCGAATTTTGTAAAGATCATGCATGAATATAGTGTGCATTACAAATAAAATTAGAAGTTTCTTATCATAATATATAACTATTTAAATAGAAAGGTAGTAATAAATTCCAGATACAAAAAATAATAAGAATATACTAATCAAATTTTTATCAAGATGGAAATTAAAGCTTTGTTTGTGACAACTATCTTATTGATTTTTAGAACAGCTTTTCAAAAATAAAAATTTGTTTTAGGAAGTAGTAAGAAAGTTGTCCCAAACGAAGTCTAAGATTTCATTTGAGAAGACGAAAATCTGATTCTTAAAGTAGCTCTTTAGTACAAAATTTATAATTTTTGTAATAGAAAAATATTTTTAAAAGCAATTAAAAAGATGTCACAAACGAAGGTTTATCTTTGAATGAACACAATACAAATTATTTATACATTACAATAATCTCAAAGCAGATACAAAAACTTCAAAGTCTACTTTTTTAATCATAAAATTCTAACATAAAATTTCTCCATCTAAATTGCTCATTTCGATTATGTTGAGCGCTCTTTTCATCTTGGATGATAGGAGTGGCTTAGCTCCTTCTATATATTTTTGAGCTGTTCAAAATTTGAATCGAGTCATGAGAAAAATTCTTAGCTTGAACCAAATACGGCTAGTCCAAGGTGACTCAATCAAATTTTGATCCTAATTAACCTGAATTATATATAAGTATATGAGTATATAATACAATTATACAAATACTTAAACTTCTTATATTTATTTTCTTACTACTTAAAACAACACAATATATGAAGAAATCAAATATATTTTGAGCACTTCACCAACCTAAGGGAGTCAAGTCGGGTAATCTTTCTCCAATCGATGTTGCTTTGCAGGCAATACAATAGGGCGATCTCTACCTCGATCTCGGAAACGAAAGGGAGCCCAACCTCTGCGGCATTTAATCGAACACGAAGAGGGGAAGAAAACGAACCGGTTTCGCAATCTCCGGCGATCTCGAATCTTGAGAAGCGACGATTGTGTTCTCCACTGATACGGAGGCATTGCCTTCTTATAGTAAGCGAAGGCCTCATCTGAAAGCTTATCCTCTCCCCGCTCCTTCGGTGTCGATCGCCGGAAGACGCGCTCTGCGACGCTCCTATTTCCATCTTCAGTTCTTCTGCATGATTTTTTTTACGTGAAATTAAAAAAAAATAGTTAAAATAGTTTTTTCAATCATAAAAATATCAAAATCGTACGATCATATAAACCAATTAGTTTTTTTTCTTTTTTAAATAATAACCAATTAATTTTTGCATTTACTTGTAATCACATTTAGATTTTTTTAGACAACTTTCTTACTATTTTAAGTAACTTTTTTAGAAAATAATAAAAAATAATCTCAAATAATTAATACTTTCTATAACAGATTTATTGTACAAAATTTAAAATAAAAAATTTTATTTAAAAATTGATTTAAAATTTAGAAAACAGTAAAAATACAATCCCAAACGAAACCTTAATTTCTCAAAATTGCGTTTGCATTTGAGAATCAATCTTTAAAGAAATTATCAGCCAAAATTTTCTCATAAATCTCTTTTAATTTATTGCAATATTTAATCAAATCTATTTATGGAAATTCTTTTGCATCTTTTAACGTCCTTCCTAAAATTATCCTCATGAAATTACTCAAAATTAATTGCTTTTAATTTATTTATTTTAAATGAATATATTAAAATTGAATTAAATCTTTATTTGATTGATATATTTAAAAATAAATACTCTACGTAAATGTTTTAATTAATTAATTATTATTGATCTAAATAAACTTTTAATGATTTTCCAAAATTATTTTATAATTTTCAAATTCTAATGCCCATTACATCAAATCAAAACTACGCCAAAATTAATCGATCTTCAAGTTTTATATGGCTATTTTTTATATCTTTAAAAAATTAAGGTTGAGTTTAGAAGATATTATTATGTGCAGAGTCCGAACCATTCGGATTTATGAGGATATTTAAGTTTTGTTTCGAATGATTTTCTTACTTTTTTTAAAACAACTTGTTAGTACAAAATTTTAAATATTTGTACTAAAAAATTACTTGAATAAATAGTAAGAAAATAATTCCAAACAAAACCTTATTTTAATGATTAGATGGTCAATAAAAACTTCAAAACACCTCATAGCATTGTTCAATGAGTAGAGCATCAATAAAAATCAAAATGAAAAACAGCGCATAGAATTGTTCAATGATTAGAGTGTCAATAAAAACTTCAAAACACCTCATAAAATCCCTAAATTACATAAACAAACCTTAAGCTTCATCTAAAAATATTATTTTTTATTTGATTGATATTTTTTGAAATGAATATTCTTGTAATTAATTAATTATTTATTTTTATCTAAATAAACTTTTAATGATTTTCCAAAATTATTTTATAATTTTCAAATTCTAATGCCTATTACATAAAATTCAAATCAAAACTACTCCAATGGGTAATTATAAGCCAAAATTAATTGATCTTCAAGTTTTGTTTTATATGGCTATTTTTTATATCTTTAAAAAATGAAGATCATGTTTATGAGAGATTATTATGTGTAGAGTTCGAACTGTTCGGATTTATGAGCATATTTAGACTTCATTTAGGATGATTTTCTTATTGCTTCTTAAAGCAGGTTTTTGGTATAAAATTTTAATTTTTTATACTGAAAAACTACTTGAATAAGTAGCAAGAAAGCCGTCCCAAACGAAGCCTTATTTTAATGAGTAGAGCGTCAATAAAACTTCAAAATAAAAAACATCACATATCATTGTTCAATGATTAGAGCATCAACAAAATCTTCAAAACACCTCATAAAATCCCAAAATTACATAAACAAACCTTAATCTTCATCTAAAACCAATATTTTTTTAATATAGAGCAAATTTCCATAGCTCTCACAATGCGCATTTGCATCACCACATCGCTGCTTTTTTCAATAAGCTCAAAGACACAAGCATCGCCCTTCTGAATCTTATTTTCATGGACCAATTTAGCCATTGATTTTCCTTGAAATCCCCAAGAGGAGCTTCTCCAGCTGCAATTCACATACCATTTCTTCTTGCTTTGATCGCGGACAGTAATTCCAAATGGTTTTCTGGGAAAGTGTATAGATACAAATTTTTTAGGAATAGCCTGCATGAAAATAGAGAAGAAGAGTTATTAGTGAAGATATCAGCTTACACTCTTCAAAATTTTTTTAAAGTTTAAAAGCAAAAAATATAGAAGCAATATTCAAAGAATGTACAATGAACACTGAAACATGGCTAGAAAATCTATCAACCAAGCAGGAACATAAAAATTATTAGAAGCTTTCAAAAGTAAATACATGAAGATCTTGTTGGATTCAAATTTGTCCGATGACGACATCGAACCCTACTAGCATATTTGCATGATGAGCTTAGATGAACATGTTAGTGAAAATAGGTGAGGAGAGAGTGGGAAGGAAAGTAGAGAAGAATAGGATAACAAAGTCTTAAACTATCTTGATTAAGAATATAACTTAAAAAATCATAAGAGGTCTATAGCTCTCAGAAAGGTCAAGATTCAAATCCCTTTAACTATTCCTCACTATCTCGTAGTTATAGGAAAGACAAAAATGTGAGTTACATAATGACACCCGTACAATACTACATACTAATCTAGGGACACGTGATGCCTCTTGATAGTTCGTTATCTTTTAGCTGAGTTGACCCTATGAATAAACGGTCAAAATGCATATTTTGAACTCCATATCATTTTTACTATTCACAAAATTTATTTTACTTCTACATTGCTCTCCATACTCACTTAATCTCCCTCTTATTCTCTTGCTCTACCCAACCAGACTGGTTAGAAGGGTCAAATGTCACCCATGAATTATAAATTCAGATCCAACAAAAGCCACAAATTGCTAAAATGTATGAAAACAAGTATCACAAATATCTAAAAGTTATTTTTTGTCTATTTAGGATGTTTGGCTACAAGTTGAAGAGAGAGAGGGAGAGAGAGAGAGAGAGAGAGAGAGAGAGAGAGAGAGAGAGGTGGGTATTCAATCTTACCATAAAGGGATTACTCGTGATGTTGCTTAGAGTAATAAGTTTGACAAAGGACCAATTGCCTCGTTTGCTTGCAAATTTTTGCTCCAATATATTAACTATGTCTTGAGAATTTCTCAAACTTAATTTTGTTTCTGAAGTTGAATATGGTTGTACTTCAGAACATTCTTTCTTGCAAATTTTAGAAGATCCAAGCCTTCCATCTGAAAATTTTCATTTACTTGCTTAGTTTGTAAACTAAAATTTATTTTATTCTTCACACCTGTTAACTCACAATCTAGTAAAAATTCAAGAAAATAAAAGAAAAAAAACAAAGATGCAAAAGCTCACCATCTTTAAATTTATCCATTCCATACTCTTCTTCAATAAATCTTATACCAGAAGCAGATCCGCTATCAGTTGTCTGTTCATGTAACATTGGATAATCATTACAAGCAACTTTTGAGGAATGAGTTCTTTGAAAATTTTGCCAAGTTTGATCCACCATTTTCTGTTTTGCTCGGGGGTTATTGATCTGGTTAGAAGCAGCTTTTACACAACCAGTACTATCAAAAATTCGAACCTGAAACATTGAATCACCAGCATAATCAAAAACCAGGATATAGCCTTTCTCTATCCCATTTGCTTCAATGAATTTCTTCCAACCGCCATTGAAGTACAAGCGATCTTGTTCCTTGCACAATCCAATCTCCCATAATATGCCACTAGGTGCTTCCAATGCAACCACATCAATCAGTTCTACTCTGAAGTTCTTGACAAACTTCTGCGGAAATTCCTTTGATCATACATAAAAACAACATAATGCGTTAAATCTTTCAAAGTTATGAGTAAGAACCATTTGAATTTGAAGAATGAAAGCATTTGTTTAGAAAAAAAGAACAAATTGATGATGAAAAACTTCAAAATAGCCATTCAGCTAATAATTCCTCAAGTTTTAAAGAAAGATTGGTCTAAAGAATATTTCACATGAAAGAATCCTTAACCTCAACATTTTAATAATGCACAGAATCATACAAAATATACAACTTTATATTGCATGAGGGGGAAAGAAAGAGAAGAAGAAAGGAGCATTCAGTTATACATTAAGGGGCTATTTTGCAACCTATTTTAGATAGGATTTGCACAATGGAGAACGAATCAAATCAGATGGTTCTATTTCTCAATCTTTCCGACTTGTTGCTACGGAACCAAAGTCGAAAGGATTGAAAAAGTCAATCATTCACAACCACTGATGAAGGATTCTTCGAAAAGTTAAATCCTTCCAAATAGAATTTTCGAAGCTTTAAATCATAATGTGAAAGTCATGCTATCAATATTTTTAAAGAAAGAAAAGGTCCTAAAGGGATTAAACCCAAAGAATGCATTACAAGCCTCAGCCATTTGTTAATACAAAATATCACTAAGGTTTCGTTTGGGACGGATTTCTTATTGCTTCTTAAAATAGCTTTTTATTATAAAACTAAAAATTTTGTAAAAAAAACTACTTTAAGAAACAGTAAAAAAGCCGTCCCAAACAAAGCCTAAATCTGTATAACTTATGAATGTAGAGAAGAACATTGAAAGATTGCTGAGAATACCATTTTCAGAGTGAAATCTCCATCCATGACCTTCATGAAATGCAAGTTTGATTCTTCTAAATGATCCCAATAAAAATGCTCTTCCCATTTCTTACAGCTCCAGCATCTCTCTCTCATTTCTGAAACCAATGAAGTAATGAACTGTTATCTTCTCATTTCTAAGTATATAAAAATCCTTGTAAATATTAGATTCAAAAAGAAGGATTTTCTGTGGTCCTTTCAAGGGGAATTTTTAAAAGGGATCACAGTTTCTAACGGAATTAACGTCAAATAATTTAAATTTAAAAAGGATCATAAACGCAATCAAATTTTGCGTCTTGAGTTAGAACGTCAGGTTTTTTTTTTCGTTTCACAGGTGAGATGGGAAGAGAGAGAAGAAATATAAGAGAGATGGGAGAGAGAAATAAAAAGCGGGAGAGAGAAGCTATTAAATTTTAATATTATAATAACTAAGTATAGTTAATAATAGCTAAGTATAATCAACAATTTAATTTAGATTAATTAAAAGGAGTCATAATTAATGGGATTTAATTATAATTAACTTAAAATCAAACATAATTTGTAATAACTAATTATAATTTAAAACATAATTATAATTAACTCGAATTAACAATAATTAATAATTATATTAAACTTAATAAGAAGTAATTGTAATTAACTTCAATTAATTACAATTAGGCAAAATCAATCATAATTAACTAAAAACTAATCATAATTAGAAAATTAATTATAATTAATTTAAATTATTAAATTAATCAGTATTAGTAAAAAATTATAATTAATTTAGATTATTTATAACTAACAAATATTAATTATATTTAATGAAACTTAATTATAATTCATTATATTGGAACTAATAAAAAAATTATGATTAAATAAAATCAATTATAATTAGTAATAGGATTTAACAAGATCACTTGAATGTAAGATTTTAACGGTATTTAATCCTGTTAAACCGGATTAGGAACTGTTAAATCTTACACAGAGTTAAATCCTCCTCCCTCTTTCTCTGTTAAGCAGATTTACGGGATTGGGCGGAAGAAGCGCGCGAATGGAGTAAGACAGTAAGTTACCTTAACAATGAGCGAACTCCGGTAGCTATTTCTGCTCAAAATGTCCTAACTTCCGCTCCGCCGGGAAGAGGGAACGTTGTCGAAGGAGCGTCTAGGGCTCAGGGTAGAGGAGGTTCGGTCGGATGGAGCTCTTCGGTCCGGTAGGCTGTGGATGGCGTGAGATAGGTTCGGGGTTTGACAAGCGACGCCGACGGGAGGATAGGTAGGACTCGTCTGATGTGGAGGTCGACTGGAGCTCGGGTATTCGACGGCTAGGGCATAGTATTGCGGGAGGAAGGAAATGTTGAAGCGGGAGGAGGAAGTGTCGTGAGAAAGGGTTCGGGAATGGCAGGGAGGAAGGACCTCGATCCTGTTGCGGTTTGCGACAGCGAGAAAAGGAGAAGCGAGGAAGAGTCGGAGCTTGCGTGGGTAAGGCGGACGCGAAAGGAAGCTTTGTCGATGCGAAATCGCGTCGTAATTGGCTCTGAGCTGCGCCGATTGCAGAGAAGCCGTATGTGCAGGATTTCGACAGGGAAGCAGGTAATCATTTTGAAGATTTTATTTTTATTTTTGTTTAGTGCAAAGGTCAACAGGATTATATAATAAATAATTATTTCATATGAGAAATAAATTTATTTAGAGCCTATTACCTATATTTGAATATTTTTATTTTGAAAATATTTAAATAAGCATTAATAACATTTATTAATAATAAAGTTTATTAGTAAAGCCTAATAAATATTTAAATAAACATTTATAACATGAAAAAATATATAGATAAAGTCTCATAAAAGGTATAATTATGACAAAAGTATGGATTTTCACAATCAAACAAAACTCACAGCCACATAATATTATTTTTTTTTAAGTGCCATAACTTAAAAATAAATATTTTTCATATATAATTTTTAAAAAAATTACATACAAATATGTTCTAGACTAAATACAATAATATTTTTGTGTATGAAAGAAATAAGAAAATCATCAACAAATAATATAAAATAAGCATTCATTATATTAATATCAAATATTTTAGAAAATTTATGAGTGACAACTAAATTAATTAATATAAAATTTTGAATATATGTTGGGAAAAAAAAAAGTCAACATAAATGAAATTGTGAAGGAACTTTTCCTACTAAATTACAACCAAAATATGAAAACATTAATATGAAAAGTAACAAAAGCTTGGGTGTAATTAATATAAAAACATCAAAATATCAAACCAACAAAATTGCAAAACACCTCATAAAATCCCTATTTACATAAGCAACCTTCATCTTCATCTAAAGACATTCTTTTGTTAATATAGAAAGAACTTCCTTTGCGCTCACAATGCGCATTTGCAATTCCACCACCTTGCCTTTTTCCTTGAGCTCAAACACACAAGCATCACCCTTCTGAATTTTATTTTCTTGTAATAATGTAAACAGTGATTTTCCAGCAAAGCCCCAAGAGGAGCTTCTGCAGCTGCAGTTCACATACCATTTCTTATTGCTTTGATTGTAGACAGTAATTCCATTTGGTTTTTGAGGAAGGTGTTTAGATACAAATGCAAGAGGAATTGCCTGCATAAAAAATAGAAATAATTAACTTTTTATGTATGTAATATAAGAATATATCAGCTTACAATCATCATTTTTGTAAAGTTTAATATGCTACAGAATTTCAAATTCAATTGACAGAAAATGCAAGTAATACAGCATAAGATAATCTGATATGTTTCTTAGGCTTCATTTCGAACGGTTTTCTTACTGTTTTTTGAAGCAATTTTTTAAAAAACAGCTTTAAGAAGCAGTAAGAAAGCTGTCTCAAACAAAACCTTAACAAATTATTTAGATTCCAAAGTACTCATTGATTATGAACATAAACTTGAAGAATGTTCATAGAATTGAATCAGCAGGAATCACAAAATGATGCATATATATTTTCAAGGGTAATAAGAAAGCACATGGGGCTTCATTTGGGCAAATTCTTTAATAATTTTTAGGAGGTATGTCATTTCTCAACATAAAATAATCATACATAGGGTGTGTGTGTGTGTGTGTGTGAGAGAGAGAGAGAGAGGTGGGTTCAGTCTATCTTACCATGAAGGGTCTAGCTCCCATACTCCATGTAAAAAGTTTGACAAAGGAACAATTGCCTTGTTTGCTTCCAAACTTGCGCTCCAATATCCTAACTTTGTATCTGAGACTCATCAAACTTAATTTTGCTTCAGGCTGCAACTCTGCAACTTCCTTTTTGCAATTTCTGGAATATACAATCCTTCCATCTGAAAATTTCATTTACTTCATCAGTTTTTAAATAATTTTCTCTTTTAATCTTACTATAAACTCATAATTCAATAAATAAATAAAAAAAAAGAAATAGAGCTCACCGTCTTTATCTTTACCCATGCCATGCTCCTCATCTTTGATAAATACTTTACTAAAATCAGATCTGTTATCAGTTGGTTGTTCATGTAACATTGGATGATCATTACAATCAGTTCTTGAGGAATGTGAGTTATGAAAATTTTGCAAAGTTTGATCCACATTCTTCTGTTTGGCCCGGGTGTTGTCAATCAGATTAGAAGCAGCTCTTACACAGCCAGTTCTATCATAAATTCGAACCTGAAACTTTGAATCACCAGCATACTCGAAAATCAGAATATAGTATTCCTCTACCTCATTTTCTTCTATGAATTTCTCCCAACCGCCATTAAAGTATAAGTGATCTTGTTCCTTACACAAGCCAATCTCCCATAATTTTCCACTGGGTGCTTCCAACTCAACCACATCAATCAGTTCTACTCTAAAGTTCTTGGCAAATTTTGGCGGTAACTCCTTTTATCATACACAATTTGTGAAATCTTATAAGTTATATGCGTCAAATATTTTAATTTGAAGAATGAAAACAATTGTTTATAAAAAAGAACAGATTGATGACGAGACATTTCAAATTTTACACTGTGCATTGAGTTTCAGAGACAGATTGCTCTAAAGAATATTTCACCAGAAAGAATCATCAGCCACAACTTTTAATGATATATAAAATGCAAAGAATCATACAAATTTTCAACAGTTTATTGTAAAAGAGTAAAACAGAAAAAGAAAAAAATAAAAAGAAAAGGAGCACTCCATAATGCATAAAGGGGCTGTTTTCTATCCTGTTTCAGGTTGGATTTAAACATGATTTAGCTTAAATCCTGTAAACAGGATCTTTGGAAAATTCTATTTCAGTTTCATTCTTAGTTGAATCCAGGATTTGTTGAACCAATCATTCACATAATTTAACCAAATCTTAAATCCAGAACTAAATAGACAACAAATTTATCAAGATTTAGGGAGATATCAAACAAATTGAAAGTTCATCATTGATTGCTGGAAATTGTGAAATATCAAAATGCAGCTTGAAGGAGCTCGGTCATGGCCGAGAATTTAAGCAGAGCAGCCAGTGTGAGGAAAACAGTGATTCTGTATATCGATTCAATGAATACATGGTATTGCATTTTATCTAAAGACTACTAGAGAAGTAATTAGTAAACTACCCAAATGTGGTTACATAAGACTGACAAAATCCTATACAGCCGTCTGACTGAAAACGGAGAAGTGATCAGAAAGCTGGAGCAGAGAGTTGTGCTTCTTGTTTCTGTGAAATGGATGTGGTGTCGTTAACAGCATAATTGGAAGTGACCAAGTGAAGGTTGATGCATATTTTAACATTATTTGTTTACAGCAAAAGCAATATCTGGTCTGGTATTTGTTAAATAGCTAAGGGAACCAACAATTTGCCAAAAATGAGCTGGTTAGCTGTAAGCGCAATATCGAGATTTGGATCGGTTGGTCAATTTGAAGGAAGGGGAGTGGCGAGAGGCTTGCAAGAAGACATTGCTGAATTGGATAACAGTTGTTCAATATAGCTTTGGTGTGAGAGATTGTAGCTATCCGAAGATCGTGTGAAGTCAATGCCGAGGAACCGGGAAAGAGTACCAAGGTTCCTGATTTGAAATTTCTGATGTAGCTGCTGTAGTAAGGTCAAAATGAAGTGTGAATCACATCAAAAAATGAGGATGTCATCAACCTAAATGAGCAAGTAAACCCGTATACCATTGAGCTCAAAAATAAAGAACGATGGGTCCGTTGAACTAATAGGAAAACCTTTGGTTTGAAAAAATGAGGATAAGGTTTCAAACCATTGTCTTGACTCTTGCTTAAGACCATAAATAGCTTTGTGCAATTTGCAAACATGAGCGGGTTTTTGAGTATCTTGAAAACCTTGGGATTGGGGCATGTATATGGTCTTTGTAAGATTACCATGTAAGAAGGCATTAACAACATCTAGTTGAAGGATAGACCAACCATGGTGTAATACAACTGTGATAAACGTTCTAATGGTTGAAAATTTAACCACGGGACTAAAAGTTTCTTGATAATCTATCCCATACTCTTGCTTGAATCCTTGAGCAACTAGGCGAGATTTGTAGCGAGCTATAGTGTCATAGGCATGACGTTTAATATGATAAAACCATTTGCATCCAATGATGTGTTGATTTTGAGGTGGGGGTACAAGAGATCAAGTGCCTTGAGATTGAAGGGCATTGAATTCAGATGACATGGCTACGCGCCATTGAGGACGTTTGGCTGCTATAGTATAGCTGGTTGGAGTGGATGAGACAGTATGTTGAAGATCTAGAATGTGATGAGGTTTTAAGCTTCCAGTTTGTAGGCGAGTAGTCATAGGATGGCGATGTGCAATTGGTGGATTTGTATTGAGATTGGTTGAAGGTGTAGAAGATGAGGAAGGGCTTGAATTAGTACATGGAGTGGAAGTGGAAGATGAAAGTGAGGAGGATGGGATCGGATTTATTTGTCGAGCAGTTGAAGGTTCTAAAGGAGAGGTTTCGACTAAAGTGGGTAGACTTGGTGGGAAGGGTGGTAGAACGGTCTGGATTGGTGAAGCAGTAGTTGGAGTTGTGTGATTGGGTAGGTGAGTATATGATTCATCAAATTGGACATGTCGAGAAACTATGACATGGTTGGTAAGTGGATTAAAGCATATGTAGCCTTTTTGAGAGGTTGCATAGCCCAAGAATATACAAGCGGCAGAGCAAGTGGCTAGTTTGTGAGAAGCATAAGGTCAAAGCCAGGAATAGCAACGACAACCAAATCGGTGAAGATGTACATAGTTAGATGGAGTTTGATAAAGTAGTTGATAAGGTGAAGTGGAGAAGGTAGATGAAGAAGGTAGTCTATTTATTAGATACATTGGATTGTAGTTAGAATTGCATCTAGCCAAAATGAAGCTGAGAGGTTTGAGTCAATTAGAGGAGCTCATATAGTGCCGAGAATATGGCGGTGTTTGCGTTCAGCAATGCCATTTTGTTGAGGAGTATGGGAGCATGCATATTGATGATGGATACCGTTTTTGAATAGGAAATTGCGTAAGTTATTATTGAGAAACTCATCACCACCACCGGTACAAAGAGTTCTTATGGATTGATTGAGGTGTTTTTCAATTGAATTTTTTAATGAACAATTGTTGAAGTTACTTTAGATTTTAATTTGAGAGGATAAAGCCAAGAGTAATGCGAGTAATCATCAATTAAGATTAAATAATATCGAAAACCCGCACGAGAGATAATCAAAGGACCCTAAACATCAAAATGTATTAGTTCAAGTGGAAATTTGGATACATGATTAGAACTAATAAAAGATAACTTGTGACTCTTAGCTAGAGCACAAGAATTACAAAATTTGGAAGAAGAGGAAATCCATAACATAGGAAGGTGTTTGAGAATAGCAGCTAGAGTCGATGAATTGGGGTGACCCAATCGTTGGTGCCACAGTTCAGATGATGAGTTGGGGACGATGGATGTTGTAGCCGCAGTAGCTGGAGCTATGGAAGAGTAAGAGAAGAGGGGGTAGAGCCCATTACGGCAAGGACCGTGGCGAATTGGTTGATTGGTCGTCAAGTCCTTGACAAGAAAACCAGTTTTGTTAAATGTAACGGAACAATTATTATCTTCAATTAGTTTAGAGATTGAGATGAGATTATGAGTAAGATGTGACACATGTAACAGTGGAGTGAGGGAAAGCTTACTAGGGTGTTGGAAGTAAACCTTTACTCTAATGGAGGATTGGGAGTGAGTTGCCATTGCCAATAAGAACCTGCTTATTACTAGTGTATGCAGACTGTTGCTGAAGAACTTGTGCATCCGGAGTAAGATAGGATGTAGCTCCACGATCAAGGTACCATGAGGTTGTTGTAGAGTCGGCTAGGAATGCAACATTAACCATTTGAGTGCTGGGTGAGTATTGTAAGTTGGAACGGTGCCAACAGAAGAGTGCAGAATGCCCACGTTTTCCACAGATTTGGCAATCACCATTAAATTTGACTGTCTTGATCGAAAAGAGTTTGCTAAAGGAGATAGACGTCCACGACCTCGAGTGTAAGCAGAGAGGCCACGACCTCGTCCACGATTGGTTGTTAGTGCAAAATGTGACTAGGATCAATAACGGTAAGTTCTTTTATGGCACCAGTCGTCTGGTTTACTTCTTCACTATGGAGAAGGGAATAAAGATCATCTAGACTAACTTGCGTGAGTTTGGTCTGAATTGCAGTTATAAAGGCTTGATAGGAAGTAGGTAACCTATTGAGAATATAAAGAATGACATTTTAGTTGTCGATACTTCCGCCGGCAGCTACATGAGAAAGATAAGCTTGTATAGACTGATTTTGCATTGAAATAGAATGCAGCTCATTCTTTAATTGAATCACTCTAGAAAGATTTGTTGAGTAGAACTAGTGTTCAAGAGTGGACCAGATTAAGGAGCATGTTCCAGATTGAGAATATAGGATAAAATGGATGGAGAAATAGTGGAGAAAAGGGAAACACACAGATTTTGATCCACCAAGAGCCAAGAAGAAAACAGGGGATTAGTTGTAAGTTGGTTTTATGTAGAGAAAACATGCTTAGGAGGGCACCGTGTGCTGCCGTCTAGGTGACCTGAGAAACCATTGGCAACAAAAAGTTTGAAGATTGTGATCTCCAAGTAGGGTAGTTGTCTGGGAGAAGCTGAATGTGAATGCGTTTTTCATATTGGATACTAGAAATTTAAGTATAGAGGGTATGATAGTTTCGGTTTGAGAAGAAGAAGCAGGTAAGGCCCTGGCTGTCGGCGAAGAAGGTGAGGCCGATGAATCTCCCATTGAGATAATATGAAAGGATCGGCCGGCGTTTGCAGCCGCCGGACTGAAAACGGAGAAGTCAGAAAACTGGAGCAGAGAGTTTAGGCCAAGCAAAGAAAAAAGGAAAATTCCAATGAGTGCATTAAAGGCCTCAGCTTTGTATTCATAAAATATATATTTTTTATGATTTTTAGAGGATGAAGAACAGAAGAACATGGAAATACTGCTGAAAATTACCATTTTCTGAGTAAAATCTCCATTCATGACCTTCATAAAGTGAAAGTTTGATTCTTCAAAATGATCCCAGTAAAAATGCTCTTCCCATTTCTTGCAAATCCAGCACCGATCCTTCATTTCTGGAAACCAAATAGTTCTTCAATTGTACAGAAAAATACAGTGAAACAATATTTTATAAACCGCCCTCTTCTCATTTCTAAGTAAAAGAGAAATGAAAAAACCATATTTGTTTTCCTTTTACCTCTCAACAAAAAATAAAAATCCTTGTAAATATTAGATTGAAAATTGTTCGAAAAAGGATTTCTGTGGCCCTTTCAACACTCTCTGGTTTAATCTGGTTACCGTAAGAAGATATGAAAAAGTCTGTAGAAGATATGATAAGACTGCCATTAATTACTATGGCTGCCATCAAGCCAATTCTGATTGATTAATTGAAAAAAATAATAATAAATTAATTCTATTAAAAGAATTTTAGTCATGATCACGAATTAAGGATTAATATAGATAAAATATTGAAAATTATAATCGCTAAATTTTGGCTTATATAATTAATAATTATTTCATATGCATCCTATGAGAAATACATTTATTTAGAGCCTATTAGCTATATTTGAAATTTTTTTTTTGAAAATGTTTAAATAGACATTCATAACATTTATTAATGATAAAGTTTATTAGTCAAGCCTAATAAATATTTTGATTTTTTATTGTCTTATCAATATATATAAACAAAGGATGATTTTATTCTATCAATGAACAAGAATACAACCAGTTAAGCCTATTAGCTATATTTGAATTTTTTTTTTTGAAAATGTTTAAATAGACATTCATAACATTTATTAATGATAAAGTTTATTAGTCAAGCCTAATAAATATTTTGATTTTTTATTGTCTTATCAATATATATAAATAAAGGATGATTTTATTCTATCAATGAACAAGGATACAATCAGTTAAACCAAGCAAAAAGGAAGATTACACAGCCAAAAATAAAAATGACGATAAAGCCAATCGGGCTCAGAAAAAGACGAATTTTTCTACAATTGATTAGATTATTACTTCAATGATCTAAGATTCTTTAATATGTTATGTATATATAATTATATATTACATAGTGTGTATGATACCTCCGTCGCCAGTCGATTATGATCATACCGACGATATGAACATATCAATTCTGATTCTTCCAATTTTCACGATATTATATGCATCATGTAGGTCCCATGTTTTTTTTCCTTTTTAGGATTTTCGACATAAAATTCTTGGTCTCTTGTAGAAATAGCACCCCTTCTTTGATTTGATTATGTGTTGGATCTTCGTATAAAGCTAAGACATTAAACTATATATTTCTCTATCACTGTGAATATTCAAAACACAACAAGCCTAATAAATATTTAGAAAATATTTAAATAAACTTTGATAACATGAAAAAAATAGATAAAGTCTCATAAAAGATATAATTATGATAAAAGTATGTATTTTTACAATCAAATAATAAAATTGCTATAACTTCACAGCCACACAAAATTTTTTTCTTTAAGTGCCATAACTTAAAATTAAATATTTTCTTATATAATTTTTTTAAAAATTTACTTAAAAATATTTTGACAACTAAATACAATAATATTTTTGTATATGAAAGAAATAAGCAAATCATCAATAAATTATATAAAACAAGCATTAATTATCTTAATATCAAATATTTTAGAAAAATTTATGATTAACAACTAATTTAATAAATATAAGTTTTTGTAGCTATGTTGAAAAAAAAAGTGTCAACATTTATGAAATTGTGAATGAGAACTTCCTACTAAATTATAAGAAAATTATGAAAAGTAACAAAAGTTTGGGTGTAATTAAAAAAAAGCATGAAAATATCAAACCAACAAAACTGCAAAACACCTCATAAAATCCCTATTTACATAAGCAACCTTCATCTTCATCTAAAAACATTCTTTTGTTAATATAGAAAAAACTTCCTTTGCTCTCACAATGCGCATTTGCAATTCTACCACCTTTCTTTTTTCCTTAAGCTCAAACACACAAGCATCACCCTTCTGAATTTTATTTTCATGGAATAATGCAGACACTGATTTTCCTGAAAATCCAAAGGAATTTTTGTTCGAGCTGCAGTTCACAAACCATTTCTTATTGCTTTGATTGTAGACAGTAATTCCATTTGGTTTTTGAGGAAGGTGTTCAGATACAAATGGAAGAGGAATGGTCTGCATAAAAATAGAAATAATTAACTTTTTATGTATGTAATATAAGAATATATCAGCTTACAATCATCATTTTTGTAAAGATTAATAAGCTACAGAATTTCAAACTCGATTAGCAGAAAATGCAAGTAACACAACAAAGATAATATGATATGTTTCTTTGGTAAATTGTATAGATTCCAAAGTGCTAATTGATTATGGACATAAACTTAGGGAGTATGGCATTTTTTTTTAATCAAAGGATGATTTTATTCCAACAAAGAAAGATGATACAACCAACCCAACAACTAAGAAAGAAAGGTACACTGCAAAAAATTGAAAAGATGAGGTAGTCATCCGGGCTCAAAAATTGGCACAGAGTTTCTTGCAACCACCCAGACGTCGGGTTAGGACCATCCATAAGCAGTGGCTACCAAATAGAAAAAGCTGAGTCACCACCAATTGTTGCCAACAAGCCTCGGCATTCCATGTGGAGAGCAAAAACTCGTAACATTATTGCCCATAAGAAAACGAAGCAACCGCTAATCCAATCCCCAGCACCACATCCACGTAAAATAGAAACAAGCACAGCCTCAAAAACCCGAACTCTAAGCAACCAACAAAGTGACACATATAAACCAACAACACAAAAGAAGGCTCCCACCGAAAAGAGAACCACCATAGTTACTTCATTTTGTTTTTACGCCCCCGATGGTTACCACCTCCATGGGAGAAGGCCTTTTCAGCTATGTGATTTACATTCAAGTTAAACAAGCCATGAAGATCCTCTTCGACCCCCTCCAAATCCTCCTCCTCACCCTCACCAAGCGGGTACAAGTTGTCTTCAAGCCAATCCGATTGGTTCACACAAAAATCATGCAAAGACATATCCAATTGAGCTTTTAAATTCACATTTGAAATAATAGAAATAGGGATCTCAACCGTGCCATAAGAAATTATAAAAGAAGAAGAGGGCATAGCAGATTCAACAACAACATCAGACAATTCATTTAATGAATCATTCAACACCATTGTGTTAACACAACACAATTCCATGTTAACCACTTTCAAAATAGGAGAGACAGCTGGAGCAAAACACAAAGGATCCTTCCCAATGACAGCTAGAGATTCATCAGCCTCTCGCATAGGATAATCAGAAATAGTGATAAGAGGATCCACTACCTCAAAACCATCAGCATCCAAACCATCCGAGATCAAAACCACTGATTTAGGAAGCCCAGCAATACAACCAAAAGCAGTCGTAGGGGAAACCACAGGATTGGGCAAGCCCAAGCCACCAGCATCAGCAAAAAATTCTAAATGACCATCACCAACAATAATAGCCTCCATTGTAAATCCAAATCAACCTTATTATTGAATTGCTCTACAGTGGTTGGCAAAACACCCTGAATACCCGCATTAGGAGAGGGAACAATATGAGGAATAGTGTTCATTGTACTACATTCCACCTTCGAATGTTAAGGGATTTACAGTACGAACAATAAGAAAGGAATTCTTCCATGACAATAGCCTAAACATAGCCCAACTTTTTGAGACCAACCCACACTTGGTTAGGATAGTGTTTGGTAATATCCAACTCAACCAGAACTCGAGCAACCGGCGGCCTAAAGCGACAAGCAGTGGCATGATCGGTTTTAAGAGGCTGGCCAAAGAAGGAACAAAACCATTAAGGATCATGTTGACCTTGTTTTTCTCCAAACCCTGGGTCAAAGGGGTTGACCTGGTCAAATTAACCAGGCCAAGTCCCAAGACCACCTCCCTTGCATTTGGTGGGTCATACCAAGTCTGTTGAGCCCAGACCCAGGCCTTGGGTCAACTTGGTTGACTAGGTCAACCTAGGTTGACCCAAATTGACCTAAATCCCTTTACTTGATTTTAAATCAAATACAGAGCTTCTCAGGCTCAATTTTCTCCACCCTTGCACTTAGTGAGTCGGACCAACCTATTGGGCCCAGACCTATACCCTGGGTCAACCTGGTTGACCAGGTTAACTTAGTTTGACCCATTAAGCCCTATTGGGTCGATTCATGCTCTATTCAAATTCAAACTTATTCTTGGCTCAATCCACTCATCCTTTGGGTCAAGTTGACTAAGTGATCAAGTCAAACTTTGACTTGGTCAACCCAAGTCTAAATTGGGTCAAATTGACCTATTTAGGTCAGTTTAATCCTATTTAGAGCCCTAACTACATTCCTAATGAGCTTGAATTCAAAACAACGGCTAGGAGGCATAATTCCATTCTTAATTAGCTCTTGATTGGGTCAAATTGACCTATTCCATCATAACAACCTTCCCCAATTCAAATTTGATCGGTCAAAGCCGTCGGCGGTGAGTTCTCCAGCGAACCAATACCCTAAACGTTCCAAAGAAGATTGTCGTCGATCCACTGTTTCAAAACGTGATTTCTTCTACAAAAAGGAGTGTGGACAAGCTACAAGTGCAACAAGCCATTAAACGGGTAAACCCGTCCATTAACCAAGGTGAAATCGCAAATCCTAGCCTAGGACACATAGGGTTAAATAGCTTTTCAAGCAGCACTATTCAGACCGCGATTTTGGCCCCCTAATGATGCTCTTCACATATTATACCTCTGTTTAAAATCTCATAAGATTTGGTTAAGTGTATCAATCAAACGAGACGAATTATCATTTTGGCCTTCGGATTTGCCCTAGCCTCGATTGTACGGGATCTCCACCATCGATCATCTAATCAACGACAGAGATCTCGTTGTTTCGTGGTTTCACTCGAACCGCTGAATGCCTGAATCGATCCCGCGGTTAGATCTCTCGTTCGGCTAGATCCTATCCATCTATCCTGTTACCGCGCGGATCCGACAGCAAAGATTCCGCGCTGATGTGGTTAAGTCGCACGAAATCATTACCGCGCTGCCGCCAATCATTAGCAATGATTGTGTGACAGCGCTTGTGTGACAGCGCAATCATTGCTAATGATTGGAAACCGCATTCGCGGTTTGAGCCAGCGAACTCGCTTGCGACGCGTGGCGCGCCGCCGCCGTTTTTATTTTAAAATAAGTATTTTAATTATTTTAAAACCTTATTTTAATTAGATTTCTTCAAAAATTACAGAAACCTTAATTATTTAATTTAATGTAATTTAATAATTATTTTT